AAAAAAAAAAAAAAAAAAAAAACTTTCTAAGAGAGCTACTGTGAAAAAAAATTAGGCAACAGAGCTAGCAAGGAAAAGAATGTGCCAAAATCACCAAGCTTGCAAAAAAGGACTTCTCTGGGTTGAGAAATGACTGTTTGAAGTTGAGAAGACAGAGGGCAAAAGACGTTCCAGACATACACATACACATTCTCTTTCTTTCTCTCTCTGAGGAAAAACTGCCCCTTACAGAGAGGTTCCTTACAGAGAGGAAAGTAACCACCAGACAGGCAGTGTGTGTCTTAACCCAAATCAAATAACGGCTATTTGCCCTAAGCCATATTTCCCTGCCTCTATTGGCAAGGCCTAAAATGATAGGGAAAGGAGACAACACAGTATTTGGTAAGGGCAGTTCCTTTTATAGATAAGTAGGGCTGCCCAGGCCCTCTCCTCATAATTTTGGATCCATCGATTTTAAAGAGCTTAAGCCTGTCAATAAGCAACAGGCTTTGACAATCAAGCTCAACAAATGCCATTTTGCTTCAGTTACAGCACCCAAAACAACCCCCCTTCCTAATCAGTTAAATAAAAAGCCATTTATTTGTTCTAGAACAGAATCAACCAAGGCACTGTTTACCACAGCAAGCTGCTGATCCAAGAGGGATATGAGCCAACTGCCAAGTAACTCCTGTACCCTGGCAGAAACTCAGCTGAGCCTCCATCTGTGGGCAAGATTAGGGAGGTGCCCAGGTTCCCATGTATGTCCTTCTCTTTCCTCTCATTTACAACTATACAGATGCTGGCTCCATTCAAAAGGGGCATGTGAGACCCAATAATCTGTCCTTGTTAGAATGTCTGGTAGTTTCTACTTTCAGCATTTGACCTAGGGTCAAATATTGAGTGTTGGGCATTATTCTAAATAGGTGCACTCTTATTTAGGTTACTATCACCAAGGTATGTGCAGCCGCTTATAAGTCATAATAGGGCTGACTTTATATTTGCATGTTTTAAATTTTTAAATTTCTTTTTCTTTTATTTCGGATACAGCCCAAGTTCCCGCAGGTCATCACTCTTTCTTAACTGGCACGGCTTTGACTCACTGGGTTGTGTGCGCCAGCCCTTTTATTGAGCACCTACTACGAGTGGGGCACTGGGCTCAACGTTCATCTGTAGTCCGACAACAACATGAAAGACGAAGCAATCTTACCTCAAGTTTACAAAAAAAACTGGGCCTTGGAGAGGTTAAACAATGTGTCCAAAATCAGGCAGCTAGGGGCGTCAGAAGCTGTAGGCAGGCTGTCAGCTTCCCGATTCTCTAAGTTCCTGGCGCTCGCTGTCCAGGGAGCAGTGCGGCAGGGGTCGGAAGTTCTGGCTTCCAGTCCCAGTCTTGGCACTACTTCTCTGAGGGCTGTTGGCCCAGGCAGCTCACCTATAGACCACAGATTTCCTTTCTCTTTTCCCCTGGCCTTGACTCCCTATTTATAATTATACTTTCCTTGTCAAGAATTTTTTTTAACCATTGTTTGTATTATTCCATTGTTTTAACGTACATGGAGTCATTAAAAAGTCGCCCCCAATGCTACACTTAAGCAGAGAGATAAACAATGACAGGCCAGCTTACCTCTCTGGGTCTCAGTTTTCCACCTGTAAACTGACCCGCTTGCGTCAGCTGGATCAGGTTGCTTGCATTCCCATTAGACTCAAGACACAAAGCTAGCTACCAAGCAACCCGGACCGGCGTCGTCGCTCCAGCGCTCCCCCAACCTCCCTTTCCGGATCTGATCAGCAGCTGTTTCCCCGCGACCCTCCCTGGCCCTATCCTGCCGGCCCAATCACCCGGGCAGACTCACCGCTCGCGCAGGGTGCCAGCTGCCGGAAGGAGCTCGACCGCCCCGGCGATTGCGCAGCCAGGGAAGGAAAGGCGCCGGTCTCCGGGCCCCACGCCGCGCTGTGGCCTGCGCGCGCTGTTCCTAGGGAGGGCGCGGGCGGGCGCGGCTCTGCCCACGCTGCGTATGTGCGTGCGCCGAGAGGGCGCGGCCCCGGCTCTCGCCTTTGTTAATTGTCCAACTGGAGGCAGGTTGTTTTCCACTGGACGCTCCCTGCAGTGGGTCCCAGCCGGGGTGGCCCGGCGACTGCAACTGCCGTGCGCTGGCCCGCAACCAGCGCGAAGCCTTGCAAGTGGGTGTCAGTGCTGCGCCCGGTGACCCACCCACCCGCGACTTCTCATTTAGGCACCTACTCCTCCCTCGGGCTACTCAGCACCAAAACAGGGACCGGCAGTTAGGCCATCCGGTGGGAATGTTGACCCCAGGATCCCTGAATATCTGTGCTCTTTCCCGAATCACCAAACTTTAGGGCTGGACCTTGATTTTAATTCTGAGTGCCGGCTGCCCAGGATTTCTGGGTTCCTATCCTAGCTCTCTTGGGAGCCCTCTGCGCAATCTTAGATAAATCTGCCAGTCTCCCTGCACCCCAGTTGCCTTTTCTATGACTCAGAGTAGTGAGTGGGACTCTGTTCTAGGCACCAAGTATTCAGCAGTCAACATAACAGACAAGGTCCCTGCCCCCTTGGGGCGTGTCTGATAATGAACACACACTTGAAAGTGATCATTACGAAAAGTATAGAAAGTTTCATATCAGGGCAACCAAATCTGGTTTATGGAGTGATAAATGGACTAGATTAACTTTTCTAAATCCTCCGATTCTAATATTCATTCTTACTCTAATTATGTGAACGTTATTACTATGATTAGTGATAGCACTAGTAATATTGCTTACTCAGTGTCAGGTACTGTACTAAACATTTTATTTGTATTTCCTCATCAATCAGATTCATAACTTCTCTAACGAGAGGTATATCTATTATCATCCTCATTTTAGAGAGAAAAACTGAGGCTAGAGAAATGAAAGTAATTTGCACACTGTCACACAGCTACTCAGTGACAGGACCAGTACTCAAATTCAGACTGTCTGAGGCCTCAGGGTGCTTAAGCACTACTCTACATGCATAAAAATATGAAGACCAGCATGGTGTTGTATCTTGAATGTGATGGATGAGAACAGTAGAAGAGGAGGGGGTGGTTTTAGTCTGTAGAGGAGAAAAGCAAAGGAAGTTGAGAGCTTTCTTAAAGAGCTGTTCATGGATCAGACTTCACATACATGAACTTAGAGGTCACTAGCATGGGGAAAGCTATAGGGAGACAAATTGCAAATATGTAAGGAAGAACTTATCTAACAATCAGAGCATTTCAAAAATGACATCAGTTGCCTGGAGAGAGTGAGCATCCTGTCACTAAAAGTCAGCATTCAGGGCTTCCCTGATGGCTCAGTGGTTAAGAATCTACCTGCCAATGCAGGGGACACAGGTTCGAGCCCTGGTCTGGGAAGATCCCACATGCCGTGGAGCAACTAAGCCCGTGCGCCACAACTACTGAGCCTGCGTGCCTAGAGCCCATGCTCCACAACAAGAGAAGCCACCGCAATGAGAAGCCCGCGAACCGCAATGAAGAGTAGCCCCCGCTCGCCGCAACTAGAGAAAAGCCAGTGCGCAGCAATGAAAATCCAACACAGCCAAAAATAAATAAATTAATTTAAAAAAAAAGTCAGCATTCAACTAGAGAGGCTTATTGGTTATTGGGGATGCTTCAAAGAAGAGTCATGCAAAAGTTAAAGTTTAGGTGATCTCTAAATTTCCTTCTAATTCTGAAGGAATTCTGAAGAGAATTTGAGTCCTAGAGTGGTTAAGTGACTTGTCCAAAGTCACCCAGGTAATGAAGACCTGACCCCAAAAACAAGTCTGACTTCTAGATCAGACTTCCTGTTTGTGGGTGTGGGTCTTGTGAGTGCTCAGCACCTCACTTTATGCTCCTTTTGTGTGTGTGTGTGTGTGTGTGTGTGTGTGTGTGTGTGAGTGAGAGAGAGAGAGAGAGAGAGAGAGACCACTTGTCCCAGGTGTCTGGAATCATCTGCTTTACCTGTTTACTTTCCATTTCTAATATGTGTGTGCCCTTCTTCCTTGCTTGTGTTGAATATTCTGTGTTTTCAGATAGAAGTGTCAAACCTCCCGGGCAAATTACTATAATATAGGGGTTCAAGAGGAAGTGGAGTCCCTGCTTCCCTGGAGTACAATTTATTTCATAAGTTAAGGAAAAGGAGAAAAGCTAGATGATATTTTTATTTGAAACTGATGTTTCTTTGATTCTATTTTAGGACTATGGGTTATCTTGAGTTAAATTTCTAATGCACTGGCACTAATTCCCCATCTTTCATCCTAGTCACAAATATTTTGATAAGCAGAAATCTAGTTGTCAGCTTCAAAAGAGGCATTCTTTTCTCAGAGCTCTGGAGAGCTACTTGTTTGTTTTGACTGGAAACCTCTAACAAAGGAATCCAATTGCCTTTTGGGATTGATTTCTAGAACATTTACAAAGAAATGGATATCACCTTGTCCCCAGTGATACTAACTCAAAGATAAAAAGAGTTCCCCTTCACTTCTACCCTCAACAGAGTGATCAATTTTTTAATTTTTTAAATTTTTAAATTATTTTGGCCTCACCGCGCAGCATGCGGGATCTTCCCCAGCCAGGGATCAAACCCGTGCCCCCTTCATTGGAAGTGCAGAGTCTTAACAACTGGACCACCAGGGAAGTCCTTAATTTATTTTTTAAGAAAATATATTTACCTCGTTCAAAATTTCAAAGTATACTGTCAAGGCTACAGCTTATTCATATTTGGACTCCTCTCAGTGCCTGGCATATTGCCCTGTATATAGTAGGTGCTTAATAAGTGATTATTGACTGGGTAAGTGAATGAGTGTGAATTAAGAAGTTGTGGAAGATAGAGAATAGTTCATTTAGGGTGGGGCAGCAGATATTTTCCCTGAGGTGCATGGGCTTAAAGGAAACCTAGACAGAACTCCCAGACCAGTTGCACACTTGACCATGACTTTATCCAGAGGTCTGTACTAAAAGCAGCAACATCAGACTCTTTTGGGTTGAGCATTACCTAAAGACTATGTACTAGCCAGTCTTTTGGTTGTACACAAAAAAATCCGATTTTAGTTAACTGAAGCAGAAAAGGAATTTATTCAAAGAGTATCAGGGAGCTCAAAGAATCAATGCAGACTAGAAAACCAGGCTAAGAATACAGGAAGCACCAACGTAGGCTGGGTGGCCAGACCCACAGAGGAAACCACGCCATAGGAAGGATGCTGCTGCTGGACACTTGCAATGCCCTGGGGATTGGATGCCATAGCTGACCCAGCTGCCATCACTGCCACCAGATACTGAATACCACCACTTCCAGAGTAGATTTTACACATTGCCTGCTTCTTTTTTTTTTTTTTAATGTATTTATTTTATTTATTTTTGGCTGCGTTGGGTCTTTGTTGCTGTGTGCGGGCTTTCTCTAGTGGCAGTGAGCGGGGGCTACTCTTCGTTGCGGTGCACGGGCTTCTCATTGCAGTGACTTTTGTTGCAGAGCACGGGCTCTAGGAGCCCAGGCTTCAGTAGTTGTGGCACGTGGGCTCAGTAGTTGTGGCGCGTGGGCTTAGTTGCTCCGTGGCATGTGGGATCTTCCCAGACCAGGGCTCGAACCCGTGTCCGCTGCATTGGCAGGCGGATTCTTAACCACTGCGCCACCATGGAAGCCCTGCCTGCTTCTCCTGACCCCTATTTCCAGAATCACAATCCTGGAGGGATGGGCTAATCAGTCATGCTTGGGTCCCAAGCAGTCAACAATCAGGAAAGACTGATACCAGGGCCTTTGGGCTTCCATGAGTGAGATGTAGGGGCCTGCCTCACACCGTGGCCTGTTCCCCAAACTTATAAAGGCAATTTGGAGGCTGGGCAGCCAGGAATATGACAAATGTTCACTATAAAGTCTTCTAATAATCTATAGGCCAAAACTGAAAGCATTAGGGCTTCCCTGGTGGCGCAGTGATTGAGAGTCCGCCTGCCAATGCACGGCACGCGGGTTCGTGCCCCGGTCTGGGAGGATCCCGCGTGCCGCGGAGCGGCTGGGCCCGTGGGCCATGGCCGCTGGGCCTGCGCGTCCAGAGCCTGTGCTCCGCAACGGGAGAGGCCACAGCGGTGAGAGGCCCGCGTACCGCAAAAACAGAAACAAAACCAAAAAAAATACCAAAAAAAAAAAAAAAAAAAACCCTGAAAGAATTAAAGAGTATAATCTGTGTAAAATGCTTAATACAGCACCTGAGCTGAACTCTCAAAACCAGAAGAGGTGGCTGTCATACTTATTACTCAACTTGTTAAAATTGTAGCTAGTCAGAGAACTTTACAGTCACAATATTTTCTTCCCAAGCCTCTCCTTTTATTTCTTATTGGAATCACTTATAATTGCAGAGTTGAGCAAAGAAAGGTTGCAAAGGGGTAAACTGTGTCAGAAGTGTACTTAGCAGCACAGCGGGGACAGTGCCATGAGCATAATAAATCCAATTTATTTTTCTGATCAATTTTTAAGAAGACTGCCTACCTCTTTTAGAGTCTCAGTCTTGGGATCATATCTATTTTTTAATTTAATTCTATGAAATTTACCACTCTAATTTCTACAGTAATACTAAAAATAGGTGCTACTTACTCAGTACCTAATACATGCCAGAAATTTTTCATGGATTATTTCTAATCGTGATAGTCATCCTATATTATAGATATTATTTGCATTTTACAGATGAGGAAACTGAAGCTCAGAGAGATGAAGTAACCTGTCCAAGAGTACACGGCTCATAGGTGATAAGTGCATAACCAACTACTACTACTCCATATTTTCTCTCATATGCTTGCTTTCTCCAAAGATTCCCATCACCATTTTTAAAAAATTCTACTAAGTCCAAATGTATGTTTCTTGAATCATTTATTCATTCTGAGATTTTAAATTGTCAGAAAGACAAGTCAAGAAATTATTGGTTGCCGGGTCTTTAGCAGAATTAAACTTTTATCAGATAACAGGCTAGTGTAGTAACCTCATTAGCAACTATAAAAAATTTTATATCAAGAGTGTCTGCTTTATTGAGCCCATATTGTAAGCCAGATACTCTGCTAGTCAGCCCTAAAAGAAAAGTATTACCATCTTCTTTTTACAAATGAGAAACCTGAGATTTAGAGAGATTCAGAAACTTGCCAGGGGCCTTGCTGCTAGAAGTGGCAGAACTGGGACTGCAACCTCAGCAGTATGACTCCAAAGCCTGCATTTCTTCCAGTGTGTCATACCACCTCTGGGCCAGTTTGCTAATTTGTATTGAGAAACACCACTTAGTATTGATACTTCTTTTGTTTCTCTCCCTTCCTGGCTTCCAGAGGCTTCCCTGTGGGTTCCTGGCTCTTTGCAGGTATAATAACCCTTCTAAGGACAGAGCTGTTCTCTCTCCCTTCCAGGTTTTCTGGCTCCTTCATCCCGTGGGCAAGACCACAACCTCCCCACACAGATCCGGCCTTGAGCTCTGGAATAGTCCTGTTCTTAATCTGTAGAAATATGTGGAGCCTTGGCTATGAAGCTTAGGAGAGTCCCTCTAAGTCTACTTTGCTGGAACTCCATCACT